AACACATGCCAGCATAATTCTAACTCAGTACGGTTGCCCAGTGATATTTATATTCGGATGAAATCAGATTATACAATATAAACATTTTATGGCTACAATTTGTGTTATTTGACCAAATTTAGGGGCATGTAGCTGACCATTTTTAATGTTGTGTTTTTATATATTGTCATTACAACTCAGACCAGTTGAATACTAATTCATTGTGCTTGTTATTTCAAATGCATTCATTTAAGAAAAACAAAAAAAATGCCATCTCAACTCTTGAAAAATTAAACATTTTATGTAATGTATATTTGTGTCCTCCATAAAATAATTCGTCTAACATATTTGGCCAAATGTGAGTATATTTAGCAGCCCAATTGCAGTTCATTCGCCCATACGAATATTTGATGCCACCAATAATATGTACTGAAATTGTCAGTTTTTAGTTTTGACATTGTCCAACCAAAACATCAATGACTAGACCTTAATGCCTACAAGTAAGGTTATGTAGTTTTATTGAGACGTTACTGTCTGTATTTTCACAGACATTTGGATTGCAGATGATTGTGAAGATGTAATTACTGTTAATAATACGACAGTATACATTCCATTCAGATTGTACGTCATGCAATGCAAGAAGGTTGTTATCATATAAGTTTGACAAATTGTCGCATCCGTGTGAATTAAAATGAAATTACTCTTTCTTTCTTTTTATTTAGAAAATTGTTCCAAAAGATAAGTGATAATAGATGTATTATGACAAATTCATTCAACTGAATGTAATATTATTGTTATTTCTTGTTTTATTGGTTAAATAGATCAACAACTCTAAAAATGTGGAATAAAATTCCTCTGTGTGGTTCTTCTTCTCCAGGTTGACTTTTATATTCCAAACGTTTAACAGAGGGTAAAAAATACATTCTAATGTTTTCATACATAGGTCATTTTAAAACGAAGTGGAATTTATCCTCTATTTCAAGGGATTCATATATTTTACATATTCTCTGTTTCACCTCCAGTCCCACAAATCTACCCTGTTGTATTTCTAGCCTATGACTAGCGCACCTGATACAAGTAAGAGTCCTTTTTTTAATTTATCAATTTCTACACAATAAAAATATGCTTCTGGGTGAAATGAAGTTTTCATA